CTCCCCCGAGACTAACCAAACCCACCCCCCACCGCTAAACAATGGGTATCAACAGTCCCCCTACCTCATGCACGCGATCATCGCCTTCGCAACCTCCCACCTCCGCTACACGACCCCCACCAAACACCGCCCCTACGCCCTGACCGAAACCTACCACTGGCAACAAGCCATCACGCAGTACTTACAGCAACTGGCCACCATCGGCCCGCACAACATGGACGGCCTTTTCGGGGCGTGCCTGCTCCTAACGGTGCGCTCCTTCGAACTCGACCGCTACGACCCGCACGGCTCCTTTGTTTTCGCCACATCCCCGAAACACACCGCCACCGCGCTGACCTGGCTCACCCTGCAGGTGGGGCTGCGGCGGCTGCTGGAGGCCACCGTGCCCTGGCAGCGGGGGAGTATGTGGTGGGAGGTGTTCATGGCGTCCGCGGCGCAGTATCGCGGGGTGTTTGACGTGGACGAGAGCAATGTTTCTGAAAAGGTGGTGGCGGCAGGGTGGGGGCTCGATCCCGGGCTGGCGGATCTCTGCGGCATCCATGCGGGCAGCACCCCCGCCGATAATGTGTATTATGAGCCGGTGCGGATGCTGAGTGGGCTGCTGCACCTGCCCAGGGGCATTCGGAGCTTCGGGGCGTATACCGGCTGGATGGGCCGGTTGGAGCCGGCGTTTTTTGAGAGGTTGGTCTGCAAGGAGGTTGCGGCGTTGGTGGTGCTGCGGCGGTGGTTGGAGCTGTTGGGGAGTGTGGATTTGTGGTGGATTGGGGTGAGGGTTAGGTCGGAGGTGCAGGCGATTAATTGGTTTCTTGGGGATGGGGGTAGGGGTGGGGTGGGAGGTTGAGTGCGTTGTGGAGGGCGCGTTCATGGTCGGTCGGTAGGGTTGGGCTTATCTGTTTAGATGTGAGATATGAGAATGTGGGAACCCGAGAAAGGAGGAACGTCTCGGTGACTTTGGAGCTTCTATTTGCTGGTTGCACGGCTGCATACACTGCGCGGTATATCTGCATCTTCATCCTCCGAATAGCCCGCCAGCTCAAGGCTAGACCGCTCTACCCAGAGGCATAGGGAACGCCGAGCTTGTCTAGGCCCAGTCGACGGCCTTCAGACAACCTTGAGGTTTTACCTACAAGAATGTTGAAGGGGGTGCATCACCCAGCTAAGAATGCGGGGGCACTGAATAGATCGTCAGCCTCAGACTGGCTACTCCCACCGCTTCGGACCCTTGTCACTGACAGACTACCACAAAAGACATGCGTGATATGTCTTAGCCCTTATCACCTGCGTGGCGGGTAAATCATTGAGGCATTATTCCCCTGCAGGGGGGAAGATGGACTCGACCGCTTCCATACCCTCTCAAACTTTATGATATTTGATGCTGCACACCCCCATTCTACTCCCACCACACACCAAGGAAATGTCCAACCCCAAAACCCAACTGGGCCTCTCCCACTCGGAGAGCACAGTCACCACCGGCTTGAAAACCCCCTGTGAGGACACCGAAACTGACAAACCATGGCAATGCTCGGTGGAGGCCGCCAAGGCCGCAAACGCCAGGGAGCACGCGATGTCCGTCACGCAGGCACTGAAGCTCTTCCCGTGGGCCGTCGTGTGGTCGCTCGTCCCCTCCATCGCCATCGTCATGGAGGGCTACGACACCATCCTCATCACCAGTTTCTTCGGCTACCCGGCCTTCCGGACGCAGTTCGGCGAGGAACACCCCGGCAAGGGATATCAGGTCGCCGGATCTTGGCAGTCAGCCCTTGGAGCGGCAGGGAATCTGGGGTGTATGATCGGCGCACTGATCAATGGCTATCTGATCGAGCGGTGGGGCTTCAAGCGGGTCTTTCTGCTGGCCCAGGTGCTGATGGGGGCTTTCATCTTCATTCCGTTTTTCGGCGACACCGCCGGAGTGCAAGTGGCGGGGCAGATTCTCTGTGGGTAGGTGATTTCTCACCTTTGGCTTCTTGCAATGGGGCTATGTGATTCGGCCGAGCTGATCATTCTGCGGTAGACTCCCGTGGGGCATCTTTGCGACCCTTGGGCCGGCGTACAGTTCGGAGCTGTGTCCGATGGTGCTGCGGCCGTATCTGACGGCCTTCGTGAACGTGGCGTTCGTCATCGGCCAGCTGATCAGCGCCGGCGTGCTGCAGGGGCTGATCGATATCCACAGCCAATGGTCGTATCGCATCCCCTTTGCCCTGCAGTGGGTGTGGCCGGTCCCGTTGTTCGTCTGCGGCTGCTTCATGCCCGAATCCCCGTGGTGGCACGTCCGGCGGGGCCAGTATGATGCCGCCGTGCAGATCGTCGACCGCCTCCTGGCCGACCCCGACCCCGAAACTGCTCACCAGACCGTTGCGATGATGGTGTACACCAACCACTTGGAAAACGAGATCAAGGAAGGGTCCTACCTGGACTGCTTCCGCATGCCCAACGCCCGGCGCACGGAGATCGCCTGCATGGCGCTGGCCGGCCAGGTGTTCACCGGGCTGGTCTTTGCGTACTCGCCGACCTACTTCTTCGAGCAGGCGGGCATGAGCGACGACGAGTCGTACAAGCTCGGCCTCGGCGGCGCGGGGCTGGCCTTCGTGGGCACGACGGTGTCGGGCCTCGCCATGCATTTCTTCGGACGGCGCACGATGTATGTGGGCGGCATGGGGCTGATGAGCGTCTATCTTCTGGTGATCGGATGCCTGACGCCGGCAACGACCAGCAGCAACCCGGCGGCGGCGGCGCTCTGGACCCAGTCCGTCCTCTGCATCGTCTGGATTTTCACCTTCTCGATGACGGTGGGCCCGATCGCGTGGGTGATCCCGCCCGAGGTCTCGTCCACGCGGCTGCGGTCGAAGACGGTGGTCCTGGCCCGGAATTCTTATTACGTTGCGTGCGTGGTGGCCAATGGGCTGGAGCCGTCGATGGTGAACCCCACGGCCTGGAATTGGCGGGGATACACGGGGTTCTTCTGGTTTGGGACGGCTTTCTTGACGTTTCTGTGGAGTTACTTCCGGCTGCCGGAGACCAAGGGACGGACCTATGAGGAATTGGACGTCATGTTTGCCCGAGAAGTGCCGACGCGGCAGTTTGGGCAGTATGAAGTGGATGCGTATGAGGGGGAGGATTCCGGGGGTGGTTGCTTACCTAGTAGCTTAGCGTAGGTGTTAGCGCTGCCAACTGGCAAGGCTGGAAGTGGGACGGAACTGCGGGGACACAGACCAATCAGCAGTATGGGGAATCTGGATGCCTGGGATTTGAGGCTGAGGCTGTGTCAGCCAGCCTTTTGACTTCTTGATTTGACTGTCTGTCTTCCATCAACCACTGCAGTCAAGGTGACACCGTGGACTGAGTTACTACTCCTACTTAGTACATACCTCCATTGTTTACGTTTACTTGTTGTGATCTGTTCAACTCGGTCGATTTTATACCTGTCCAACTTACTCAATCTCACCCCCCGATTCCCCATATACTGTCCTCCTCTCCCTCTCTATCGATAAGTTAGCACTTATCATCATACCCACCGATAACGCGATAGCCCACCACCACCACCACCTGCTGGAATCACCATCAATGTCCCCCCTCAGCGCCATCACCAGCTGGCTCTGCTGCATCCCAAGCCCAGATCCTAATCGTCCACCTCCATCTTTAACTTCAGCCTCATCTCCATCGTCGAACCACTACCGCAATACCAACGAAGGCTACCTCCCACCCACACCACCCCTCCCCGCCTACACCCCCCATCCACACACCCCAACCGAAAAGACCCTCGCCCTGCACCCTCGCCCATCCTCGTCATCATCATCCTCGACCTCAACCTCCTGGAACGAGAAATCCGGTGCAGCAACCACATCGTCCCCCGCACCCGCACCCGAAGCAACAGGAACCACAAATCCCTACCCACCACCCCCCCCCCCCGCCCCCCTCTACCCACCATACTACCACACGGCCACCGGGCTCTTCGACCCAGACCCCAACGACAGCGACACCTCGTCGACGCTCTCCTTCCCCAGCACCAGCAGCTACGGGAACACCTCGACCGCGACGCGCGACACGCCGCCGCCGCCGTACTCGCCTAGGAGTCTGGGGATGTCGTCGCGGACGATGTCGCCGGTGCCGTCGTTGATGTCGGATTCCGGGAGGAGTAGTAGTAGTGGGAGTAGTGGGAGTAGCCGGGGAAGTGGTGGTGGGTTAGGCAGAGGATCTGAGGAGATGGTGCAGATTGCGGCGCCGAGGGCGGTGGTGGTTTGGGAGTCGGCGCGGGGGAGGGGGAGGGAGAGGGAGAGGGAGAGGGGGTGGGGGGATTTATATGATTGATTGAGTGGGGTTATTGGGTATGGGTATAGGTATGGGTTTGGGGGCTCAGGGGGGGACAATGGGTAATGGGATGGTTTGGTGTTGGTTGGGTTGATTTGTGATGCATGGTGAGTCCGAGTTGAGCATGAGGGATGCGTTTGTATATCAGGCAAGCAAGCATGCCTCTTTAATATATGACTGATCAATCTCAGGCCGAACTACTAACTTAATGATGGAGTGCATGCGGTATAGCTTCAATATAACATCGGATAACTATTTTCAGGACCATCAACAGTTACTTCAATATACACAACCACCGCTATCCAACACACCTCTGCACCCTTGCTCTCCCTTTCCCCACCACAACCTCTGCTTAATCACTGATACCTAACCACCAGCTTCTCACCACTCACAATCTCCGGCACCGCCTGCACACTCGAGCTATAGGTATCCTGAACGGCATACAGCGCCGCCCCATCCGCAAGACCATAGCTCTCCCCATCCGCCGTCCTGGCCACACAGCCCGTGAACACGGCATCCTCAAAGCCCACGAGCGTCAACCCGTCCCCATCCACCGCCAGGTCCTCGACGATCCACTCGGCATTCTGCCCCTCGAGCTTGGCACTGTCACTCGGCGCCGTCGCGTGCATCGTCAGCTTCTTGCCGGTGGTCCGGTTCTCGATCACCGCCGTGCCCGCCGTGCTGCTCGTCGCCTCGACCGAGGCGAACACCACATCCCCGATCGCGAAGTCCATCTCCACGTCCACCGAGTTGGCCGGGTACCACTCGTACCACGCCGCGAACGAGGTCTCGTTCCGGCTGTCCACGTAGATGTCCACCCCCGTCTGCCAGATCGAGTTGCCCGCCGTCGCCCCGTCGATCCCCACCCAGAACGACACCGCCTGCGTGTCCGCGCTGCTGGCCGCCGCCGTCGGCGTCACCGCCGGCAGCGTGAACGTCGCCGCCACGTACGTGTACGTCGCGCTCGACGCCGGCGCCGATTCCAGCACCGCGCCCGCCCAGTTCTCGTTGATCTGGTAGTTGGTCGCCGTGCTGGTGCTGGCGCCGTGGTCCACGCTCGCGGTGGTGGTGGGCGCCGTCGAGTAGGAGTAGCTCGTTGGGGCGGCGGTTTGGGTCGGTTGTTGTTGTTGGCTGCTGTTGCTGTTGCAGTCGGTGCTGGCGCTGGCGCTCGCGCTGGGAGCAGATGCCGCGCCCCAGTTGACCGAGGGCTGCCACTGCCCCTGCCCCTGCCCCTGGCCTTGGTTTCGGCCGCCGCTGGTGAAGCCGTTCACTGCTGCGCCGTCGCCGCCGGGGACGCCGCTGCCGAATTGGCGGCGCTGCTGGCGGGCCTCGTGGGGCGCGGCTAGAGCGGTGCTTGCGGCCAGAAGAGCGCTGACTGCCAGGGAGGTGGTGAGCTTCATTGTCGGTATTGATGGCTTCAGGTAATGTCAAATGAAGATAGCAAAAAAAGAAGTTAAAGAATGTATATATGCCCCCAAGAGGTGGAGCAGTCTAGATAGAGAACGGAAACGAGCACAGCTCTAATGAAAAGGAAGGGAAAGGTACGTAGCACCTCAGATCACAGATCTTGGTTGATGAAGGCCAGAAATACATGGCGCTGGTGCGGGCGTGCAGACCCTGCAGGTTATATGTCCATTGCCTGAGTCCAGTCACTTAGGGCTCGGTTTGGGATTGATTGCGCCCGGATTCCGCATGAAACCCGTTAGTGGCCCCGGGTGGAGTGGCGCTGCCCCGTCGGGCGTTTGGGACTCGATCACCTTCATTTCGGGGATGGGGAGGGAGTGGGAGTGGGGTCTTGGCTTTTGCGTCGGAGGGGGTTTTTGGATAGGGGGGGTGGGTTGGACCTGAGGTTTGGGAGGTGGTGAGGGTTGTTGTTGTTGGTGGTGGTGAGAAAATGCTGTACTGTACGATGCTTCGTACTCTATCCGGGTGATAGGCAGTCCACTTCTGAGGGCCATAAGGAGCTACTGAATCTGTTCATTACCATAGTGGAGGCTCAGGAGAGCCCCACGACGATGAAGTCTCGTCGTCCACAAATCCATGCCTCCTCCATATATTCATGTTGTTCACCGTGGCAAGGGCAAAGGGGCAGTCTAGACTTCACGTAGTGGCCCAAAGGGTTAGTCGAGACATCCAGACTTAAGCATATTTCAACATCCCAATCAGGAAATCCACGGCCGAGACATTTCCAACAGATAGATTGAGGGGTGTCGCCTCAAGCATGATGCCACCACCAGCGTCAATCTCCGGATATAATGATCGTCCATTGTCATCAGGACTGTCTCGGTACCTCTCCGCAACTGTCTAGTCTACAGTGCATTATCTGTTGATCTACTTTACTCAACTCTTTCCTCCACGATCATATATTGAAATAGTTTAAAAATAGCACCATCTCAACAATCTAAGCCGGCTAGACTTTTTGTATATCCACAACTCCAATATGTACAAGAAGTCAAGAAACTAACCTGCAAGTCTATACACCTCTATCGTCCTCTAATTCACCATGTTCGGGCACTCCCCCTGCGCCCGCTTGAACGCTCCCGCAAACAGATCCTGCATCGCCAGGTAATGGAACAGAATCCCGCCTAGCACAGCAAGGTGCCAGATGTTGTGGCTGCCGCCCACATAGTCGAACAGTCCGGGCCGCCACCGCTCCGGCACCTGAGACGCATACACACACGCCCCCACGAAATACACCATGACACTCTTCACCACCGGCGCATAGAAGTACAGACACCAGAAGAAGCCCCGGGTGTAGGTCAGCTGCGCCAGCGGGGCGAATCCGGTCAGAGCCAGCGACACATAGAAAGCCACTCGTGCCCACGCCATGTCCGCCCGGTTGAAGGTGGGGTGCCACGGCAGGATCACTCCGCCGATACCCAGAGACATCGTCAGCAGGATGTAGATCCACCGCGAAACTGGCTCGCAGTAGAAGGCGGTGTACTCGGTCGTCACAATCGAGGCCGCGACCAGCATCGAGATACCCGTATAGTCCACGCACGCGAACCGCTCCATCAGTGTCTGGCTGGCAATGCTGTTCATCGTGTGCCACAGGGTGCTGCATACCAGGCACTTGCACGCCGCGAAAAAGAAGACTGCGGCCACCAGCACATCCGTCTTGGTGCTCAGGTGGAAATTGGGGTTCAGCGGGTAGAAGTAGAAAGCCACAGAGAGCACGATGAACAACCCGATCAGATGCGACCAGATGTTGACAAGTTCGTTGGAGAAGGTGAACATGGAGGCCAAGCACTCCACCTTCGAGTGCGTGAACCGGTATCCCTCAAGAATGTGGGGGTTCACCCGCCACGGCTGCGGGAGGTCCGCATAGCCGATCAACCGCTTTTCCTGGGCCAGCAGGATCGCCCGGTCAATGTTCTCCTTCATTGCCTCCTTGGCCCGACGCGCTCGCTCCATGCCCTCGTCGACCACCTCCCGGGCATGCACCAAGCTCGAGTCCATCGCCTTCCACGCCCCATCCAACGCGCCGTCTAGCCCGCGGTCCCACCCGGCGTGAGCACGAGACTCCAGCTCGACGAGAAAAGATTCCATGAGGCGGACACCGGCTTGGGCTTTCTGTTCTAATGTTTCCTTTGTGGCGAGAGCATCCTTATAACGGTCCTCCAAGGTGTCCACCAGGATCTTGGCGCGCTTCTTGCCGCTGCCCATGAGCTCTCCGGAAGCGTGAGAGCACGAGTCCCGCACGGCCTCCAGGGTGGCGTAGCCGCGACGAAGGCTGGCATCGATCTGGTCCATGTGAGATTTGCCATACTGCTCAATCCACAGCATTCGTCGCTCCAGCTCCGTCAGGAAAAGTTCAACCTAGACCCCGTCAGATAAAATCCCATACACCAGAAGAGGATTCTGGCGAGTGCATACTCTCAGGAACACCGCATCTGCGTCATAATCTAAGGACAGCTTCCGAGCCGTGTGGAACGAGTGACGGCGCCGACGGTCGCGGAGTAAGCTGGTCTCCTCGGAGGGGGTTGTGGAATAAGCGGATGTGTTTGCCTCGGGATACGACTCGATGGTCATGGATTGCGCAGAACAAGCCATGGTGTTGCGTATACCGTTCCGACCGTCAATTAGATCCGTAGCTAGTTGAGAAGATCGAATCGCATATCCTGGAGGGAACAAAGAAATAACAAGGGGAAAAGTCAGTGAGGGAAAAGACCAAGGTTGGGGGTGGAGATCGGGACGATCGGGAATCGGCGGGACGACCGAAGCAGAACATACAGCTGCAAGTTGGACAAACTAGAGAAATTCGGGTGGCTGCAAGGGACAAGCGCCTAGGTGAGTTGAGTGGAGAGGAGGAAAAGGGAAAGAGAAAAACAGAAAAGTAATGATAATGACCCTAAAAGAAAAGGAGAGACACCTCTTAGGAGGAGAGGGAATTAGGTATTTAGGGAAACGATCAGAGGAGAGAAAGAGAAGAGGAGAGGAGGAGAAGGGGAAGAAGAAGAAGAAGCAGAAGAAGTAAGTTGAGTTAAAGAGGGGAACCCGAACAATATTAACCCCATCAATAAGAACTTGCTCTCTTTTTCCCCTCCCCGCCAACCCTTCAATTACTACTCAAGTACTTGGTTCTCTTACTTGGCAAATGTCCACTTTTTAAGGCTGAACTGCTAAGAACTACTCCGTATCCTTGTTCACCCAAGGATTGGTTCTTCTATTCGCCGCCTTCCTGCTGTCAGTCTTCAACTTCAGCCCATCAGCGCCCGGCTTGCCTCCACGTTGGGTCATTCTTATCGCTCTCGCCACCAGCCACCCTTCAACGAACCACCCACCGTACTTCGCTTTTGCAGTGGCAGCCAGCTGTTCCTTTCACCTGACGCACAGCAATTCCCTCACCATGGCCATTCGGGACATTGTCGTCAACCCGTCCCTGCTGCCGGTGCTCAATTTGAGCGCCGAAACCCGCGACCAATGCATGCAATTGCTCGCCGTGCTCGACCCGTCGGCTGACTCCTACTCTGACTCCGAAGAACGCGCCCTGGCTGCGTCCAAGGAACAGAAGCAGCTGTTCGCTCTTCTGGCTCGCCTTCGTGGGCTCAACCGCGATGCTATTCTACGCGTCCGAGAGACGAAGCAGGCGACCGCAGAGGCCCGCCAGGAAATCGACCGTTTACACCTGCAACTTCAGAATCTCTACTACGAACAACGGCACCTGACGGGGGAAATCGCTGCGTGCGAGTCTTATGAGTATGTCCCGGCGTAGCCACCAAAAGAACTCGCCGAATGCTGACCTCACTGTCGCAGTCACAAATACCTTGCCCTTCCATTGATCCCGCTCGAAGAATTCCTAGCGTTGCACCCCGAGCATCGTGAATCGGACGAACACGATCTCATGATCGCTCGCATCAACCACGAACATGCCGAACGGGAGAAGCTGGAGCAGGCGCGACAAGAGCTTCTGAAGCGGAAACAGGCCTTGATTGCGGAAAACAACAAACGCAAGGAGGATCTGGCCAGTCTGGACCAGGATTTGGAGCGCTTTATCGACGTAAGTCTCTGTCCTAGTGAGTTTCGGACGATGTTGCTAACCCCTGGCAGGCCGCCAAGCCCATTCAGAAGATCTTCGAAAAGGAGTATTAGCGGTGGGGTTATTGTCTTGTAGTTTCTTGCATGGATTGGCGCATTGGATAGATACCCAATATGATTTGATTTCAACCAAACAAGGTCTCCTAGTATGTAGCCATGCGTTTCGTGGTGGACGTGTTACATTGTCTTCCTTGTGACCGCCGCCAACTGGTGGCCTCCTCTCCGCCTTCCTCCCGCCTCTCCGCAACTCCAGCTTGCAATCAACTCCAACAACTCCAACTCCCCTCCCACTCTCTCCCATCTGGTCCTGTACCAGGCTACGTCGCCCTCGTCAAAGCATGTCCTGGTCATGATCGCCAAGAATGAAGACCTGTCGTCATCACAGACCGATCCCCACCCCGATTATACCATGACCGTCAGCACCCCCTCGCCGCGTCCGCCGCCCCCGGAGAAGCCAGAGGCTATCCGGACGCGATTCAAGGTCATTGCAGCCTTCTGGGCGGTGATTATTTTTCTGGGATTCCCGATCTGGTGGAAGACCACATCGATCTATCGAGCTTCCTTGCCTATCCCGGAAATGATTGATTGGGCCGATGGAAAGGTATGTAATTCCTGGCCGTTGAGGTGCATACCTGGCTGACTGGTGTCTCTTCAAATCTAGACATGTCGTCCTGTTTTCCCGCTTGAAATCCGAGTCGAGACGCCTCACCTACCTGACGCAGAGGCCCAGCACTTGCTCCGGACGACACAACATACCCTCGATGACTTAAATGAATTCTCCGCACATCATCTGCGGCTGAAGCTATCGAACGATAATGTTGACGAGCCACTGAATGAACCGGCAGACACGGCCTTGACAGTGCGCCTCTTACCACAAGACGACCTAATCAACCCCAAGTCCGAACTCCAGCACGACACCACCCAGCTCGACGTCTTTTACTCACCAAACCAAATACCGCCCCTTTCATCATCCAACCCACCGTTGTCCGCTTACATTGCGGGTGAACTTCAGCAGCTATTCACAGAAGAGAAGGCTATCATTGCGCAAATCCTGTCGAACAGCCATGCATCAAGTGCGGCAGCCACCAGTCAGCCGTCCTCGACTATGCTTTCCTCGGTCTCTCCTCAGCTCGCGGACAGTATTGCCAAGCGCCTCCGACGCTCGATGAAATACGCCGATACCTATCACCTCGCCTTTTCCTTGTTCACTCCCGGCACAGAGCCCTCCTCGTGGGACATTCAGGCCGCTGTCCACGACTACATAACCCCATTGCTGCAGACCTTCTCTCCAATCAGCAATTTTACCGTCGACACCCAAGTTCAGCTATACGCGACTTTCGCACCCACAGCTCCGGCACCCGAATACGACGAAAGCCACGGAGTTTGGACCCTAAAGCCCGAAGACCTCAGCGCGTTCATCAACGCGGCCGAATGGCCTCTCAGCCCCAGCATCGGCCCAGGCCCCACCATCAATTTTATTCTCTATGTGCCTGACGCAGCGCAATCCCCCTTGGTGGTCAAGGACAGTCTGGCGACGAGCTGGGTCGTGCCTCAATGGGGTGGTGTGGTCCTTCTCAACCCCGCGAACGGCACCCAGCTTCAGCATTTATCGGGCGATGCGCTTCAGGCCCCGTTTCTGACCTTTTCCCACCAACTCCTCACTCTTCTCGGCGCCCCTTCCACCCCGGCTGCGCTGCCTTTCCGACTGCAGACACTCACCCGCATTCGGGCCGCGAGTCTGCTCCTCTCTGCATCCTCTACCATGGGCTCCCTCGCCCGTCTCACCGAGTCACTTCCCTCCATCCCCATCCCTGCTACCGTGGCTGCCTCCGTGGCGACGACCCTCTCGCATCTGACCTCGACCTGTGAGCATCTCCGACGGGGACGATTCCAGGCCGCGCTAGCGGATGCACGAATCGCCGAGACGGAAGCGGAGCGCAGCTTCTTCGAGAAGAGCATGGTCGGCCAAATGTACTTCCCGGATGAGCACAAGGTGGCCGTGTATCTGCCTCTATTGGGCCCCATTGGCGTTCCCCTCATTGTCGGCTTGCTAAAGGAGGTCAAAAAGGCCATAGCCCTGCGGAAGGCCAGGAAGGCTACCTGAATTACTCAAATTTGTACAGTATATAGTTTTATTCAGTCATTTTTTTTCCATTTTGAGCAAAACGTACCAACATAGAAGCAAGACTTCGCTAAGAATATACAACCAGGATTATTAAGATTAAGTCATGCAAGAGGCATAACCATGCAACAACGCATACCCGTCCGAAGGCAGGCCAAACCCCAAACCCCAAACATGAAAAAAGACAAACGCTATACTCAAATACCATCACAAAATCAACAGTATACATACATACACTCAAACATACAACCATGAAAACATCTACCTCCGCTGCGACCCCAACCTCGAATTCCCTCTACTCAACCCACCACCACCACTACCCGAGCCCTCCGGGTCCTCCGAAAACGCCTCCATGGCCCTGGGATTCGTCGGATACGCGTCCGGCTTCAGGACCCCTGTGGTCGCAAACACGCCCGGCGGCGTATACACCCGAATACTCTCCGTCCGGGGCAACGCCGGGATCACCGGCGGCGAGCTGTAGGTCGCCACGCCGCCTTTCCCGTCCTGCTGGGTCTGCTTCACCACGAGGTTCCCGTTGATGTTGAGCGGCAGCGGCGGCACCGGCACGGGGACTCGGCTCCCTCCGCCTCTCTCGGGCACCAGCGCCGTCTCGACGCCGGCACCACCGCCCGCCCCCCTCGCGGTGGTGCCCTCCCGCTGGTACACGGGATTGTGGGGGTTGAACAGACTCCGGACCCGGCCGCCGGTCTTCTGGATCATGGAGCGGGATCGGGACCGCGACCGCGACCGGGAGCCGGTGGTTGTGGCCTTCGAGGCCCGCGACTGCGTCCGTCGGAGGAGGAAGTCGGTGCGGTAGGCTGTCTCCTCTGAGGGCATGGGCGAGGAGATCCCGATGAGGGTGCCCTTGGAGGAGCGGTGGGTGAATTGGGCGATCTTGGCGGACGGGGGCAGGTTCTTGCGCCGGTGGTGGCGGTACAGGAGGAGGGAGAGGAGGGTGGCCGTTACGCCGAGGAGGGCGCCGGGGAAGAAGCCGGCCAGGACGGCTGCTGTGGGGTATTGTGGGCATTTGAGCTGTGTTGCTGTTGCGCTGGTGGTGGTGTTGGTGCTGGTGTTGTCTGCGGCTGAGGAGGTGGAGACGCGGGGGTCTGTGGCGGAGATGGCGGTTGCGAGGGAGGATGAGGAGGAGGAGGATGTGGTTGACGAGGTGGTTGAGGAGGTAGCGCTGGATGCTGCTGCGGTGGATGCGCTGGATGTGTCCATGCTGCAGAGCGAGTCCCCCGTGCAGGTGTAGCCGAAGGGACAGCATTTCGAGCCACATTTGGCCAGGCTATCATCGAGGCGGGTGGTGTGCACGCTGTTCTTGGGGTGGGAGGTCGCGTTCTGCAGCTGCACGTCGCAGGTGATGGGCTCGATATAGTCGCAGCTCTGCCCGGCTGGGCAGCAGATGGCGGAGCTGCCGTCGTCGAGACTGATGCAGGTGGAGCTGCTGGGGCAGCAGAAGGTGCTAGGAAGACCGCTGCTCGAGCATTGTGTGTAGTCGCTGGGACAGGTGTCGCTGCTTCGTGGCAGCAGGATGCCAACGGCCTGCGTTGGCGATATCGTTGAAGCGAGCAACCCGAATAATAGTAGTAGTCGGGACGAGTTGCCCTGGTACGTGATCATCGTGATGGTTGGCACGAGAGAGGACCTGGTAGAACTTTCTTGCAAGAGGATGAAATGAGAGAAGAGTCAAGAAAGGAGCGTATGAGGATTATTGCTGGTATATTGGCTGGGCAAGGGTCGGATGGTGAGTCAAAGAGTGTTGTGCTTCAATGAAAGAAAGTGTCTAAGACAATGGGTTTGAGAGTGGAAGAAAGGACGAGACGAGCCAGTACCAGACAAAGAGCGCTTCGAATTGTCTTGCAGGAAGAAGCAAGTCCTGAAGAAGATCTCCCTCCCCGTTCCTCGCAACATGCTGCCCAAACCTTTCTGCACGCATCGTACTATCAGGATCTAAGGATCCAGGACGGTAGGTAGCAGGCGCCGAGTCCCAGAATAGCGACGAAACGTGGGGCCCATGGCCGACGGGCTAATAATGAAGAGAAGTCTAGGCGCCAGAACGGGGTCTTTGGGCTCGGACTGGATGAGAAGTCTGATTGACTGTTGCAGATTACCAGAAAGCCCGGCGCGTAGGCAGTGTGTACTTGTCTATTTGAATGTTGTTGTTTCAAGCTGGGCGGTTTGATGCAGAAGTAAATCGCGGTCCGCTGATTGGCCGATGTTGGCGCCTGCTTACCTCATTTGGTCTAAGCCGAAAAAGGTAATCTCTCAATCTGTCGAGCGGAGGAAATTCTGCGGTTTGGAATTGCTGCTGCTTGTGTCAAGCACGACCTCCCTTAACTTATTACTCCACCCCCAGATCATCATGCTGAACCGACTCCTCCGGCCGCAGTCTGCGCTGCGTGCAGCCTCCTCCCTCACTGCGGTGAGCTCTTTTCTGTCTTTCCGGCTGATTGGGCGCCTTCACTAACAGTGCGGACAGAAGCCCGTCTCCGCGCTCCCACGCATCCAGAGCCGTGCAATTCACCGTGTGCCCACCCTCGCCTACGGAGATCAATACCAGGGCAACGGTATCGCGGAGTTCATGTCACCAGAGGCGTTCGACTTCTCCTGGACGCAATACCAAACCCTCCTTGTTGACAAGCTGAACCTGTTGACGCAGGGTGAGTGCCAGCTCCGCGGACCTTGCTCGGCCCGTGAAACACGCTCGGACTCTAATAAATATCTGGATCAATAGACACCATCGATGCCGACGCGAAGCCCGGAGAACTGCTGGTCAAGTACTCCCGGCGTCCGGAGATGGCCTCCGTCTTCAACTATGCCTCAATGGCTCACAACAACCACTTCTTCTTCAACTGCCTGGTACGACCCAGACCTTGAGCGAATCCGTCCTTAGCACAAAAAAGCACAAAGCCTAATTGCATAACAAACAGTCCCCCCGCAAAACCGAGATGCCCGAGAAGCTCGAGAAAGACATCACAGAAACGTGCTCGTCGGTCGAGTCACTGAAGCTCGATTTCCTGGCCACGGCCAACGCGATGTTCGGTCCCGGTTTCGTCTGGCTGGCCAAGAACCTGGAGCGCGAGGGGATGATGCACGTTTTCTGCACGTACAACGCCGGCTCTCCTTACCCTGCCGCGCACTCGCGCCGCCAAGCCGTTGACATGGCCACCCATACGCCCGACACCCCGTTGGGCAACCAGTACGCCGGCGCGATGGGCGCCCACGCGCCCAACCAGAAGAGCATGGCTCCTGGAGCCATCGATGTACAGCCTATCTTGTGTGTCAACACCTGGGAGCACGTGTGGATGATGGATTACGGTATCGCCGGCAAGGAGGAGTACCTGGAGCGGTGGTGGGACCGGATCAACTGGGAGGTGGTGGCTGACAACTACAACAAGATCAGCGTCAACCGGGGGGCGCGCAACCCCAACACCGCCTGGGGGCGCAGTCTGGGCATGATGTCGTAGTTTCTTTTCACCCAATCCGGATGATGGTTTGATAAATTGTATTATACACATGGGTTCTCTTTCTTTTCTTTTCTTTTCTTTTTTCTTTGGCATTTATGGTCTAATCAAGTACAAGCATTTTCCCTTGGAATATAGACAAAAGAGTCTCCCTTGATTATATCTCATGATGAGCACGAACCCCCTCTCCTCCATATGTGTCTAGTACCGTCACGATATTCTGGTATCAAAACAGTATCACCGCCCAACCACCTCCCCAATCCTCTTCTCGAACGCCTCTATCATGACCCCAGCCATTTGGCCCTCAACCGCACTCATCATGGTAGCATGCCACTGATTCTTGAACTCGAACCCAATCTCCAAATGCACCCTGGTCATGCTCTTCCCTCCACCCATCTCCGCAGTGACATCCGCCAACTCCCACTTGGTACTCAAATACTCGAAGATGCCTTCCTCCGCCCCGGGGAACCCAAACCCACCACCTCCTCCTCCGGAACTCACAGCCTGCCCATCCTTCTTCGCCACGCCAAACCGCGCCCCACTCTGTGCCGTGACCGTCAGCCGTTGGGGATCACAATCCACCTTCGAGGTGAAGGTCTCGCTGAGCGGACCGTAGCCCACCGTCAGGAAGGCGCGCGTCGGGTATTGCGTTGTGGGGTCGCGGTGGGTGACGGTGCTGGCGGTGAGAAAGGGGAGGAAGGACGAGTAGGACTGCACGTCGGAGATGACTTCGAAGAGAGGGGCGGGCGAGTAGGGGAGGGTGCGGGTGGCGGTTAGGCGGCGGGTGCGAGAGGAGGAATCGTTATCGGAGCCATTGGAGCCGCTGCCCGGGAGGAAGGAGGAGAGAAAGGTTCGACGTTGGTGTTGGTTTGTGGGGTGGGAGGGTTGGGGCTGGGTTGTGAGGGTGCTGCTGCTGCTGCTGCTGCTGGGTTGTGTAGTCGTCGTTGCGGTGGTACGGAGAGGATGTGTGGTCAATGTTGATAGTGGTTGTTGGGTGCCCCGGATTAGTAACCGGCGAGGGGTGGGCTTGAGGTGCCGCGTGGTGGTTAGGAGTGATATGCGCATCTTGTTGTTCTGGAGGTTGGTGGGATTAATTGATTATGGACTATGGCGCGATGGGTGAGAAAGTTGAGGATGGGTCGCGGCGCATCGGGGCTTTTTTTCTGGGGTGTTGTAACTACAATTTGCCCGTTTGGTCCGCTTCCGAGGCGGATTTTGTTCCGCGGTTTATCGTTGCTACTGCAGATATAGTCTAGTCATTCAGCTACTGTAAATTTGAATGGAACCCTCCCATTGAGCTGACTTTCATTCTTTGCGTCTCTTCTCATGCTAGATGGGCGAGTTATTTATCTTAACATGGTTGATCTCTGTATGTCTTCCGGATGACAACTCAGCACCAGCTTACGTCTCACCCCAAATCTATATTCTGCTCTCACTGCTGCTCATCAATGCCTATCTTGGTGATCTATTTACGGCATCTTTCTATCCTCTCACAAGAGCTTTAATCAAAAGAGTACATACATGAGTACCCAAGGGCTTTAGGTTCTCCTTCAGAATCATTGCCACTACCTCAGCAACAAAATATATCGAGAGACCTCTCAAGCAGGGTGGTAGCCTTTATAGGCAGAATTAATAAGAGAGGTCCCCTCATTTTTAGGCTCCCTTCAATTATCCCATGTATAGAACTACGAAGGAAACATTTACCGTAGTGATGAGTCTACTTTTCCACCCAAGCTTTTGTGGCGTGGGCAAACCATGTATAGAACGAGCATACGAGTATATCGGACTTATTGCGGAGATAAACCCCGGGTTAGTTATCGATGGTAAGAGCGCAAGCCACCCACTTCGCCATCACAAGCTCACCTCATCATCATCCTACCGGAAGATGTCTACATGTCACACAGAACGCCTTAAACTCGAAAGACATACTTTGCTTTAATTCATTATAAACACTGCCTGCAAAGGTACCGCCGCTCAAAATGACAGACCTACATGACGCTCTCCCCGTCCGAGAAACCAAACGCACCCGTGTTCAACTATCTTGTACAGCATGTAGAGCGCGCAAGCAAGTGTCCCAAAGATGGCATCCACATCTGTTCTTTCAGACTCTGTAATCTCATGAGAAGTCACTAATGCCTTCCACAGATTGAAATGCTGCCGCGTCCACCCCTGCACCAACTGCAGGAAGCGTGGCGAGGCCAACTCCTGCACCTTTGTCGGCCGCGGACCACGAGGCAAGACCTCGCAAGGGCGCGCGAGTCCCACACATGTCCAGGATCGGTTGCAACACCTAGAGAACCTGATCTTATCACTAACGCAGCAAAAGATGCTGGAGCAGCCCACAGAGACAAATGGGGATGGCGCGGGAACCGGGCAAGAAGAGGTGAACTTCGCCGCTCTGGAATCGACCAACGCAGGAGAAGCACCCTTCGCGAACTCGACCTGGATCCATACGGATGATACTGGGACTGATGAGAGTCAACGCAGATCAGGGGTGGGGCTGGCGTCAAGGCCCCATCCTCTGACACCGGAGGAATCGCCGTCTGACCCACCGGGGAAGCTGGTGGCCCAAGAAGCTGGAACGAGGTACGTTGATGGGGCTCACTGGAGAGCTGTACTGGAGGAGGTATGTTACTTGAATTCTAACTATAACCTGTTGCCTTGTTCCTGCCTCTTTGAGTAGACCCAACTAATTTTTGGGTAGATCAGCGAAGTGAGGGAGTATTTGCGCGAACAAGATGTACACTCGGACGATGAGCTTGCTCAGCAGGATGAAAAGAGCGTGACTGCACCAACTTTGCTGTTAGGACTGCACAAACCCCTCAGAAAGGAGGAGCTGCTGGCACAAATACCGCCGCGGCCGGTGACTGATCGCCTGGTGGCGCAGTGGCTTAATAGCAAAGAGCCTGTGATTGGTGGGTTTTTGTTCTTTCACTATATCCAGAGCAGTAAAAAGCCCTGCTAATACTTGGTTCCTAGGCATCACGCACATTCCAACGTTTCAAAAAGAGGTAAGTACTCGGGAGGCAAAGTTCTGCTTGCTGTCGCAACTGACAGCAGCAGTACAATAAGTTCTGGGACCGCCCGCATGAAGTCTCCTTGCCATGGCTAGCTCTATTATCTGCCTGCATCGCAATGGCGCTTGCCTTCAATCAGCGAAGTGGCGATCCGACGCCCCTATCACCTCAGGACCCTGCTGAGGCTCAGGATTCGTTCCGCAAGCTCACAGCACAATGTCTTGTTCAGTCGAATTATACCGCGCCTGCCAGGTACAAAGTTGAGGCACTGTTTCTCTACACTATGAGCGAGTTCCTCCGGAGTGACGACGCACAAGTCGGGGTTTCCTTTCTTCTCGGTATCACAATCCGCCTGGCCATCCGAGCAGGCTACCATCGAGACCCCAAGCACTTTCCCGACATGTCGGCCTTTGACGGTGAAATGCGTCGACGCGTCTGGACCATTCTTCGACAACTGGACACTTTAATCAGTTTCCAGGTTGGCGTCCCCAGAACAATCCAAGACTGGCAACATGACGTGGAATTACCCCGTAACATATCCGACGAGGACTTCGATGAGAGCACCGAGGAACTACCCCCTTCCCGCCCTGATAAAATCTTCACGTTAGTGTCCTACACCCGTGCCAAGGCACGCATCATGACTATATTCGGCAAAATCTCAGATCTAGCATATTCGCGCGAGCCCGTTACCTACGAGGTGACCCAGGCTCTCGACCGTCAACTTGACGAAGCACACGATCAGGTGCCTTACTCTTTCAAGATGCGTCCTGTCAACCAGTGCATTGCGGATCCCTCCGACCTCATCTTCCGGCGATACACTTTGGAGCTACTGTACTTGAAGGCGCGGTGTGTGTTGCACCGGAGGTATCTGGGCGAAGACCACAACAACCTCCGCTATGCCTACTCGCGGTGGGTGTGCATGAGTTCCTCGAAGGATATTCTTCGCCACCAAGCAGATATTCACCACGAAACGCAGCCAGGGGGGCTGTTATACCGGGATAGACTGTTCCCCAACGCGCTGCAATATGCAGACTATCTGCTTGCAGCCATGATCATTTGTCTGGAATTGTCACATCAGCGCACAGGGACGCCACCGCTCGGTGGAGGCACGAATGATGATCTCGCGGTGGTGGTTCGGGGTCAGGAGGAGCTGTTGTCGGCGTTGGAGATGTCGCATGAGATATTCGATAAGATGCGTCGACGGTCAGCAGATGCGCAGCTGGGGTATGCCGCAATGACGATCATGCTTCGTTGGGTGAAGCAGCAGCGTTCGGGGCAGAAGGATCAGCAGCAACAGCAGCAGCAGCAGCAGCAGCCAAGCATCTCAGGTGAGTACGCCAGGAGCTCCTGGATTCTGAAAATTGCTCTGACGGAAAAAACTAGCTTATCCCCCGGCATACGGAAGCTGGCAATTGGAGGGTGCAAACTCGCTAGATGCGCTGGACTTCCAGCCGATGGACGGTGTAACTCCGGGCTATGCTTCTCTGGACGTCATCGGCGATATGCTGGATATGCCTACGAACATGGATTGGGTGAGTTTATTCTTTTGGAGAGTGATCGATGTATAGTACTAATCGGCGTAGCACCTGTGGGATCTACAGATACAGGGCGTCGAGAGACCGAATCCAGGTAGTACATGGACCCAACTGGATTTCAACGATACGCTTCAAGGAAATTAGCCAGCTACATACCACTGCGAAGGGGCAACTACAAGCCTGATTATGACTCAGATAACTTGAGACGAAGTGATATAATAAGTCCTATTGCGAGAAGGCAACCGCAAGCCAACAATGCATGACTCAATTTCTTTGAGGACGAAGGGTAGCCCTTCTATCGAACTGTCAGCGGCAGCTTCACAGTTCAACGCTAGTATCCTTGTAGTTCGATGATTTCGAGCTAGACTTGCCATTGGCGTAAGGTCGTGTACGGGTGGAGAGACAGAGCTAACAGCCTCTTGGCAGGTGGTGAGACATGCAGTCTCTAGATTCCTCGTTTGCTGCACTCGATCCGTTGGGTAGTGAGCCCGGCCACAAGAGTTGTTCTCACTGACCATACGAGACTAACCCAGCGTTCTGAAACATCCTACACTTTCACAGAAGATGAATGCCCTGCTAATGCACACCGCTACTATTTCTGAATGACAAACAAGTTGTCTCAAAAAGCTCGCACGGTTTCGTCCCATCCCGCTACAGTGCTGTTCGGCGGCAATTGCTCGCTACCTCCTTCATAATCTCTAATCTCTTCAGTCGACTCTGTACCCTGTGGGGGTCAATGTTGTTCCAGATTATTGACTTTCTTCTCAATAACTAGCCGATGAAAGAGAATAAGGTTTTACACCACATCCAGCTCACGGGAACTGGGACTTTCATTGTTGAGCCTGTGCCGATATAAAGGGCCCGTTGCTGCCTCCCGTGCATGGGGTAAATATGTATGGCTGTTAGAATGCTAGTTGTACAAAGATGGCGGAAACAGCACCGAGTTACATTGTGCGTTCAATTCCAGCGACAAATGGCCACCTTGGCCGTTTCCAGCTAACAATCAAACCAGGAAGCGATTCAAAAGTTAAACTTGACGCAGACAGGTTTCAAGGACCTACGGAAACGACGACCGCGATCGAGTCCTTATTCGAACAGCTCGTTCTTGGATCGAATGCGAACGTGGATCGAATGTCTGGACTACTCGGTAGGCTGCTTCTGACTCCAAGCTCCTGAAATCATTGTCTGATATGATGCGATGCAATGCTCAATCTCAGAGATCAGCGATCTGGACCGACTCAACATCGTTCATGTTGCTGGCACAAAAGGAAAAGGAACCACCTGCGCTTATGTCAATTCGATCCTCCAGCAATATCGCATGTCATATGGAACGCCCCGTAAGGTTGGGCTGTTCACCTCTCCCCATTTAATCACTGTGCGCGAGCGAATTCGTATCAACTCCGAGCTCCTGTCGGAAGCGAAGTTTGCAAAGTACTTCTTTGAGGTCTGCAATGCTCTGGAGCTTACCGCAGCAGCAGCAGCAGCAACACTGCGGGGCGGGCCTGGTGACACCCCTGCGAAGCCTTCATACGCTCGATTTCTCACCTTGATGTCATTCCACGTTTTCATGCAAGAGGCAGTGGACACGGCGATCTAGGAAGTCGGAGTTGGGGGGCAATGGGATTCCACCAATGTTCTCGCGAACCCCGCGGTTACGGGGATCAGCTTCCTCGGAATCGACCATGTCAATGCGCTCGGGAATACGATCGATCAGATCGCGTGGCATAAAGTAGGAATTTTCAAGAAGGGCTGTCCGGCCTTCACGGTACCTCAGGTCCCATAGGCGATGGATGCGCTGCAGGATCGGGCCATCGAAAGGGGAACCCATCTTAACATTGTTGAAGTACTCGCTGCGGTCCACGGCCTTGACATCAAGCCTGCAGAGCACTTTCAGAGGCAAAATGCTTCTCTCGCTATTAGGTTGGCGGAAACCGTGCTCACAAGGCTCGGGGTTGCCGCCGCCGATGATTGCTGCGAGTCCGACAGACTTCCTGCTTTGTTTGGACAAGGGCTTGAGAACCTGGATTGGAAAGGGAGATGCCAGACCTTGGTCACGGGTCAGCAGCACTGGTATCTGGACGGTGCTCACACCCACGAGAGCCTTGAAGTCGCCTGCTCTTGGTTTGGACGGGTATCAGGGACCAGAAACCTGCCGCGGGTGCTAATCTTCAACCAGCAGCATTCATCGAGGGACCCTATCGCGCTACTCAGAACTGTTCATCGTATCATATACACCAAGCTTGGTGTTGTCTTTCAATACGCGGTTTTCTGTGCGAATAACACGTACACAGACCAGTCTTGCAATCTTGGTATGTGAATGAGCTCTCCCGTTGGGCAGGCAGGACTTTGCAAGAAACGACGCTAATAAGCATGGTTTTTAAAAAGAGTTGATTAACCACAATGTCAATCCTGATGCACTTCAGGGACTGATCCTACAGAAGAAGTTAGCGACAGTCTGGAAAGAACTAGATCCTGACTCGGAGGTGGCGTGGCTGCCCTCGATTGAAGATGCCGTTGACTATGTCAAAGAGATTCACAATGGAGCTTCGAAGGAGCCAGGGGCTGAGATTTTGGTTACGGGTAGCTTCCATCTGGTTGGGGGGGGGGGGTGCTGTCACTTATAGACGAAGTGCCACGTATGTTGGAGACAGCTGTGGAGTATTAACTGGGCAGTAGTACGAGTGAGTGGTGTTATCTTTCGGATAAGTGATTAGTAGTTATTTTTGCTCTTTGCTATGCTAGAAATTGTATAATCACAGTACTATGGCACCCAGGTCTATCGCTTGACAACATTCTCGTTTCGGCCACTGACCCTACAAGAATTCTTGGGATAATCGGCTGGCGGTCCGCCGCAATCCTCCCCCTGTTTCTTCAAACGCGATTCCCCAGGTTCTTAGCAACCCCTCCAAACTACCATCCTGGCGCTTCGCTCCCCAGCTTAGCTGGGTTCGCTTCTTGGAGTCCAGAGCGGGCAGTGCAGCATGCGGTGGGAGGGGTCTCACGCTCTTGACGCCTGTCATGGAAAAAAAGCTCGGGGGACTCCCTTAGGAGGCAGTTGAATGTCCTGCTCAGATTAGCTAGTAAGTAATGTGGTAAGGGCGTTGCTGGATCCCACCTTTTGCCTTCTTCGTAACGACCGGCCCTGGAAGAAGTTTCATGGGACTCTTCTCAGGTTTCGATGTCAATAGCCTTAGCTAGCTCGCACAGAATAACTATAGAGTCTTCCACAATCCCATTGCTTGCTTTCATAATGGTGAAATCGGCCTACACACATGACTTTACCCTGTAAATAGCATGCCGAATCTCCACGGTACATTAACACCTAGGCTCTTTGTAATTCGAAATCTAAACCCTCCCCTACTCTGTCGCATGTACATTGCGGAATATTTACTATCCCCACCTAAGCACGTGCCCTTACCATGCTCACTCACACTGCAGGTGCGACTTGACACCGAACTTTGGTGATTGAGCCCGCAGCGGGGAGTATCGTCGACCGAAATTCAGCAAAGATATTTGAATTTCCTAACTATTTCTACGAGGTTCAGGAACACACTGCGTGCCATCGTCTAGACTTACGAGCAGTGAAGTGGATGCATAATCTCCACAGTGCTAATTAGAAATCCATCCCCGATCTTTGCAGACTGCCAACCAACTTCACTGCATTCCACCCGGTCAACCGCGCCGGAGGATCCGTCCGCCCGTTCCACCCGTTCCCACCCACGACCGGGGATCTCGTAATCTCCTACAATATGTATCGATCCACGTAGGCTTTGTGCTTATGCATATAGAACTGAGCAGGTGTAGTGTATCCACAGAGAAGTCAAGCTCCCTCGTTAATAAAGGAAATCACTGAATATCAATGGCCCCAAGCACATAACCCCCCTCCCCCCTCCCACAAAAGAAATCCCATATCCGGCTCGGCTAGCCCTCAGCCGAACCCCGTAAAATTGCTCAACAGAGAATCCCACTGAATGTCATCGACGGGGAAGATATCCTCCAAGTTGTCGTCGCCGTAGACCGACGGCCAGATCTGGGGTGGTGGTGGCATGGTAGCCTCATTGGTGGCGTCAACCGCCATCATCGATGGATCCTGCCTCGAGACTGCGGGTTGGTTAGAGGGCACAGTCGCACTGCCCACAACAGCCCGGATCTGGTAGGGGTAGCACCGGGCGAGCAGCCGCATTTTCAAACACAGGCTGCCCGTGACGTCCGCCTCCTTGGCTGCCGTCGACATGCCCTCGAACTGCGTGTCCAGCGCGTTGGCGAGCTCGGTGATGAGATTGGGATAGTCGGCTGCGTCGACGGCGGCCTGCACCTGGGTTTCTATGGCGGAGCCGCTGTTTATGGGGCCTCCGTCGGTGGTATTAGTAGTAGTGATGAGCCGGAGAAGGGTGAAGACGGCGGTGGGCACGTAGCCCACGGCGGCGCATACATGGGCAGTTGTTGTGATGTTCACCTGGGTGATCTCCGACACGGGGAGGTGGCTGACCGTGCGGATGAGCTCCTTGCTTCGCTGGATGAGGTCCATCAACATCGTCGTCCGGACTGCGCTCGCGGGCTCGGCGGTCCACAGGTCCTCCCGGAGAGATAGTTCCTCGAGCCGCAGCTCTGCATGTTTGATCTCAATGCGGATCGCATTCGCTGTTGGGGTCTGTGTCAATTCCGTCGAATTGCCTCGAGGACATAAAAGACGCACCTGTCGATGAAGGGTAGCTTGAGAGATCCGTTTCGATGTCCGCGCTCAGGCTATCAAATTGCCGCCGTAGAGCGCCGCGCGTGACCTGGACAAGCATGCTTCCGCCGCTTGCTTGTACCGAAGCGTAAACATCATCCATTGTTACCAAGAAGGACTCTAGGCGGATGAACGGCGCAATCCACCGATCCGACGAACGCTCGGCAGATGCTATGCCCGCGAGGCACTCCTCGGTTCGACTATTATGCTTCATGATAATCGGGCGGTCAAGCGTGCTACAAACACTGATGTAACACAGAGTCAGCCGAAAGAAGAGCATCCAACCAGCGCTGACAATCTCACCCAACCGATACCCAGAACGTACCGAGCAGCGCCCGCTGCTCATCGGCACTTAGGGCCGGCTTCCTGTGCAGACCCAGATCATGCACCATCGAAACACAAAACTGAATCAACAACAATAGTCGCGGATGGTTCTTCTCTGCCGGGTACGAGTACCATGCGCAGTGGACCAACAGACCGCGGAGCAACTCGAGATTTCGCTCGGAGTGTTCCACGACCCTGCAAGTGACGTGCTTTATGATCTCCGCGGCAACGATCTTGCGCAGCGGATGCGCACTGCCGATGGTCGCGGCCACGACGCACAAGAACAGGAACGGCTCGCGGGCCCGGAGGCAAGCGGCTGTCTCGCCGGGGGCGAGCACGACGAAGGGGAAGGTGAGTACGAAGTCGCGCTGGAAGGTCGTGACCAAGCGCTCCGCCTCGGCTGCACTCAGGAGCCCTCGCTCGACGAGGGACGGCTGGCCCGCCAACGCAGAGCCGGTCGGCGGATCGAGGCCGTGCGAGGCGTCTTTGGCCGCGTCTAGCATCGCGGCAATTTCTGTCGAACCCAGATCTGCATCTGCATCCGCATCCCGAGATTGAACCCCATCGTGAGTGGTGGTGGGCGTAGTAGTCGACGTATCGTCCGACGTTGTGTGTCCGTTCGGTTGAGTCAAGGCAACCAGCTGCGACATCAGCTGTTCGACCTTCTTCTCTAGCACCTCCACACGGCTGCATCCATGATTCTCATAATCAATACCCGCGAGTGCTATAGTTATGTATGTGAGGAGTGTGGGTGGGGGAGGGGGGAAGTGGGGGCCTACCTCGGTGCAGCAGCCTTATGCCTCCGTTTCGTCTGCGGAAGGTCTAGGTAAGTGCATGATTTGCCCAATCGAGCACATCGCTGGCACATGTTGGCAGTCTGCGGCGTGCATTTCGCCTTGGCGGTGGTGCATGTCACACATGCCCTTCTCTTGACTGCAGGTATGGGGGCGTTCATCATGTCATCCAGTAAGGAGGACGGGGAACGGAGCGGCCGGTCGAGTTGGATCGACCGAGTCCGGCCCAGCTTGCTGATCAATTGGACCGGGCGGAAACGGATCGTCCGGTCGGAGCGGGTTGGATTCCCGCCCTTTCTATGAAGCATCAACTGTATACGAGGACTTGAAGAGTATATAAGGAAGTGAAATCGAATCGAATTCTTACAATGATATCAACAACACATCACACACCAATCCATCCCCCATCCCAATCGAACAATGTCTTCCTACGCTATCACCGGAGCCTCCAAGGGCATTGGCCGCGAGTTCGTGCGCCAACTCGCCGCCGATACAAACAACACAGTCCTGGCCATCGTGCGCAACCCCGAGTCGCCCGAGATCGCCGACCTGACCTCCAAGCACCCCAACGTGCACGCCATTAAAGGCGACGTCACGGACCCCCAGTCGATCCTCGAGGCGGCTGCGGCCGCAGCCGCCGTCACCGGCGGGACGCTCGACGTGCTGATCCACAACTCCAATGCCGTGGATGCGGCCTCCATGTCCTACACCCCGACCCAGATGCCCTTCGATGCGCAGGCTATGCGGGCCAGCTTCGAGCCGTCGCTCAGTACGAATGTCTACGGCGGTCTCTGGGCGACCAACGCCTTCCTGCCCCTGATCGAGAAGGGCACCCAGAAGAAGATCGTGCACATCTCCACCGGGATGGCCGATACGGCTTTCATCAAAAAGGCCTCTGTCAGCGTGGCGGTCGCGTACTCGATCGCCAAGGCCGCTGTGAATGTTCAAGTCGCCAAGTACGCCGTAGAGCTGGCGCCGAAGGGCATCAAGGTGGTGGCGGTGAGCCCTGGCTGGGTGGATACGTGGGAGGGTAAGTAGCTTTGCCCTTGCTGCAGACAAGATAGATCACTGATATACCATCATTGCAGGAGAGAAACCCGCCCAGGTAGTGGAAGCGGACAACTTCTTGCTGAAGCAGTTCCAGGCAGCAAAGCCTGACCTCGAGGGAAAGATTCTGCCGGAAGAGAGTGTTAGAAAGGTCCTTCAGGTGGTTGAGCACCTGGATATCGAGGATAGTGGCTTGTTCCTGAGCCACAATGGAGATCAGGAGAATTGGTTCTAAGTACTCCGGATACTGATGAGATGAGATGAGTGGCATATTGACAGATTCTTTCTCGTGTCTATACTTTCCATTGAGTAACATGCATTTGCTCCGCACTACCTTGTACGAACAATATAATCAGGATAAAGGACCACATTAATTGAAGTATATAACATCATGCATGAATGTGTCGACTGTGTTGTTACTTGGTTATGTTGTAGTAGTGATAAATAGATAGGACGGAACATTGTGGCTCCGACCCGGAGGAAAGTGATGGGTTGCAGAGCAGCCTCCGATAGCTTCATTCCATCTCTCCGATAAACAACGATCCAGTTTCTTATTCGGATCGCAACCCCCGTCAGTCGTCATGTCGTCCTTACTCGGAGCTGGCTATGAGTCAAGCGACGATGACACCACTCCCTCCGTCCCCCAGACCCAACCCTCCGCGCCGTCTGCGACCAAGATTGTCGCCGCGCCCGAAGTGAACACAGAGGTTTGGTCCCTTGAGATCCC